CATTAAATATTAGTTCATATGAAAAATAAAGGCTGAAAGGCATTTGTGATTTTTGGTTTAATTTCATTTTTTTGACCAGACTTGTCACTTCATTGTTTTAAAGGGCTTCAAATAAGGAACTCCCTCTACCAATTCGATCAATTGCAAACTTAAGGCCTAGAGAGCTGCCTGGGAGCACTGAGAGGGTACCAGTTACTCTATCCACAATGCAATGCTGCCCTTTACAATGGCTCCTGAATTCAGGAAAAGCAAGGTGTAATGAATTCATTTTTTCATGTTGGGCACATGCAATTGAAAGGCAGCATATGAGTAGTGAATAGAGAGGTAGCCTTGAAGACACATGATCACCCAATGTGTCTGACCAGGTGTGTCAGAACCAAATAGAAAAGGGGCCCACTAAACCATGAGGACCCCTGGGGGCATATTGACTTAGAAAACATTTCCTCTGTCACTTTAAGCTTATACAGTCAACAGAACAATAATCAAGCCCTGATTTGTAGTGCCTGACGATTTCAGGTGCTCATAATGAAAATTTCACTATCAATCCAGCCCATCTGACTCTAGCACATGATTGGGAAAGCTAAATGACAGAGCTGGTAGTTGAACTGAATTTAGAGTCAGTGGCTACACTCATAAATATTCATCAGTTACTGTAGCTGTCTGTGTCTACATATCCCTCCTTCATTTTCTTAGTGTAAGGGCCTGATTAGAGATATTTTAGTGAGAGTATTGGGGATTATATGTTAAAAAAGACAAATAATTATTTTCCTTTGATGTGTGCAAAATTCCTGTATTTTCAGTATTCCCCAGTTTGGGGTTTGGGGTTTTTGGGGGGGAGGTTTTAGTCTGTTTATTTGCTAATTTCTAAAATACGGTACTTTATAGCTTTACATGCAGCTGTGGTTAAGCACATGTGAGTTCTGGGAATGTCCAGGAAGCTAAGCATGCACGTGTTTATTGGACCTTTTACTTTGCAAACAAGCTATGGGCATTTCCTTTTCCGATTTGTGTTTTCTAAGGTTTTCACTTATGGTATAATAAATGTTTGAAAAAGTGTCTCTTCAGAGATGAACTGTAATAAATAGCAAATAGCAGCAAGTCTATAGTAAATACCTTCTGTTCCTGCTTCCACAGTTCTTCATAACCATACAAGAAATTATAAATCCACAATTCATACTATCCTCTTTTAGCATAATTATAAAGATGGTGTACTTTTCTAAATGCTACTCCATGAGAATTAGTTCGGATAAAATTATGTAACAGGGTCAGCTTGTTCTACAGAACTGATCTCTTTAGATTTGCCCAGAGCCATTATGTGTAGAGCATATTCACAAAATATCGTACCTATGTGTAAGTAGAAGGTGTGGGTGTTAAATAATGAAACAGGAGGTGACAAATCAACCTCATTTATTAATGGTCACTTTTTTGGCTTCTTTTTTTACTTTGCTTTGTTATTTAAGGAAAAGGATGCCTTATGGTAAGGTAACTTCAGTGGCCTCCAGGCCTGTTTGCCCACGGGTTGGGAAACACTGCATTAGACATTATTGAGTTCAATTTTTCTTTTTTCCTTTATTTTAAAAAACAAGCTTTATTGATGTCCCAGGCACTTACGAATATAACTTTGCTCTCCATCAGCAGATGAGCCGTTGAAACAAAGAACAACAATAAGCAAAACCTATTGACAAAGTGACTGCAACAGTGTTCTGTCACATGTGACTTCTTAGTCCCCTCTGCCCCGCTCCTGAAAAAGAGAGCTACTTCCTCAACTTTGTTCTACAACTAGGCCATTGAACCGATCCTCTCATTTTACAGATGTGGAACTGAGGCACAGAAAGGTTAATAAATTTTTGCCGGCTGTTGAACAGTTAGTACCTTAGGCAAGATTTGAACCCAGGTCTTTGTGACTTCAAAGCTGTTCACTAGACCATGGTCCTTCTTTTAATTACTTAACACTCAGTTTTGATTGAGTATTCACTTCATTTTCATTACTGTTACCGTCATATATATCGTTTTAATTCTTTCCTCCATCTGCATCAGTTCATGTGTCTTCTCTCTTTGAATTCCTCAAATACATCATTTCTCACAGGAGAGTATTTCGTGACATTCACTTACCACAGTGTGCTCAACCATTCCAAAATCAATAGTCATCCACTTCATTTTCAGTTTTTGTTTTTGGTTTGGTTTGGTTTGGTTTTTTGCTACCACTAAGAAAGTACAGCTGTGAATACTTTGGTGTGTATGGGACATTTCTTTCTTTAACAGACATTAAGTCTTTGCTCTGTAGAAAGCACTGTTCAAAGTACTGGTGGAGATGCTAAGAATCTGAGAGTCTGCCTGATTGGTACATTAAATCAATATGCATAACATCAGTGTTTTATTCCCACCTTTGCTATTTTGACACTTGGAGTGGGCCAGTTCACTTGTTAAGCCTTTTTTTCCCCTTAACTGTAAAATGAATGGGTTGAAAAAAAAATGAATGGGTTGAACAAGATAAATTTTTGGTTTTTTGAGACTGGGTCCTCCAGCTCTCCCAGGATATAAGTGCCTATAAGGCCAGATCCCAGTTCTGATGGGCACAGAAGCTTTAACTGGTACCATCTTCTAGGTTGGGCTAGTCTGTCCCTCCTTTTCAGCCGGCTGGTCCTCCACTTCCAGGGGCTTACCTTATTGGTGCCACCCATACTTAGTAGATAATTTCTGCATGAGGGGAAAAAGGAAGACCTCATGGAAAAGATGAGGTTTGAGCCCAGTCTTAGAGGATATTTCAACAACTTGTTACATTGTAGTCATATTTCATAGATTAATCGTGTTGGAGCATGCTCACCATAGCACCTTGATATTATTTTCCAGAAGAATTTTTAATGAATACTTTATTGTATTATTAAGGATGACAAGGATGTTGAGATATAGAATGAAATACAATGAGGAATAATTTTGATTATAGAATAGACATTTAGAGTAAAAGGGACCTATGAAGAACTAGGCCAGCACCCTCATTTTACAGATGAAGAAACTGAAGCTTAGAAATATTAGATCATTTGCCCAATCATTCTACATATTAGTAGCCAAACTGTGTCTAAAACATAGATCTCCCTTCACCCAGTCCACTATTCCCATCACATTAGCCTTTTTTAATATATATTCTGTTCTAGTTAGGCTGTATCTAGTGTATCATGTCCATTTCTGAATGCTGCTTTTTTTTTTAAAAGGCATTTGGGGTTAAGTGACTTGCCTAGGGCCACACAGCTAGTAAGTGTCAAGTGTTGATCTGAGGCTGGATTTGAACTCAGGTCTTCCTGACTTCAGGGCCTGTGCTCTATCCACTGCGCCACCTAGCTGCCCCATGAATGCCACATTTTAATGGGGATATTGACCAACTGGAGTAAGTCTATAGGAAAAAGGCCAGGAGGGGAGGGATCTGAAGATTGTCACCATAATTAATAATAACTTATATTTGTATAAGACTTTATGTTTTGCAAAGCATTTTACTTACATCACCTTCTCACAAGCACCACCTCAGAAGGCAGGCAGTAACATTAGTCCTGTTTTATAGAGGATGAAACCAAGGCTTAGGAAGGTAAAGTGAAGGGATTTGCCCAAGGTCCTACAGTTAGTAAGTGGCAGAGCCAAGGCTTGAACTCTACCCCTGCCAAGTTTTATTAGGATTGGGATTTAGAAATGGAGTGAATTTTAGAGGTCTAGTCCAACTGCTTGTTTTATGGATGAGAAATTTGAATCCCTAAAAGGGTCCTAAGGTCATGCAGGTAGCAAATAGCAGAACTTGGCTTTGAATGAATGTCTCACCCTGACCTTTTCGGCTCTGCCACTCCAAAATTCTGTTTGAGGTGTTATTTTAAAGTTGTTTGGAGGGGAATATTGGGAGAGCTCAGCCAAGTGTTTCCTCTACTGAGCCCCTGGAAGTCAGAACTTGACTTTGAACCTAAATTCCCTGGCTCCCAAATTCAGTGTTCCTATATAGGTAGTCAGACCAAACTCTTAAATAATTATGGGTCTCATTTAGGAGGCTCTGCAGTGTTCTGGGCCTTGATGCAATCAGTTCAGGACCTTCCACAGAAAGGATCTTACCATCAGCAGGGAATACTCCTTCCACTTGGTCTCTGCCTCCATACATCCTCCTGGACAGTAATAACCATTTGACAAGCATCAATCTCCCTGTTTCATGCTTCAGTTGATAGTAATTATTTGATAGTAAACTAAAAGGTATTTCTGTTGCCTCTAAAAGCAATCTTACATAATGTTAACCTGTGCATAAAAGCTACCTTGTTAGAAGAGAACCTTTAAGTCTGCATTTTCTGCTACTTAATACTTTTTTTTGTAGCCAATAAACAAGCATAGTAAGATCAGGTATAATTTATATATTTCAGTCAGTTGTGTAGCTATGAATTATGTGTTTATGTATCTGTGTGCATATATATATCATGATTGTCCTTATAGTGTTACGTAGTCATCTAATCCAAGCCCCAAGTCTAAAATATTGGCTATGAACTTCTAAAAAGCATCAAAAATCTAGTGAGAAGAAAGCATTTGACCTAAATAAAGGAGGTACAGATACACTTTTAAATCACATCAACATTGTAATAACAAATACAGTACTTTGCATACATTACATATTTAATTAAACACTGTATTGAATTAAATCTAAGAATTTTTTTAAGTCAATATTTTGAATAGGGCAAGCTTGGCTGTTATGAAAAGAACACTAGTACTGAAATTAGTTGTTGTCTTCATGATTGCATTTAATTAATCTTTTTTGATTTCTGGAGTAAGGATCCAGAATTAGCATTTAATAATTAAATTAGTCTCCTTAGTTGATTTCACTTGAATTTAACAGGAATTATAAAGTAATACTAAAATATAACCAAGTATACTATTTCCCAATTGTGAATTGTATTTAAACTTAAGAAATATAATTGTGAGCTTTAACAGCAAATTTTTTAAAAATATTTATTTGGAACTTAATGAACACAAAGAAAGGACATTTCTGTATATAAAGTAGAACAGAAAAAAGATAGGTGAAACTTCAAAGTCTCTGTTATGTCCAATTTGATTTTTTTTTGTATAATAAATTCAGCGTGTCACTCTTTCAACTGTCCTGCTTATTTGTGTTCTACTGACCTTCCTTCTGTTCTCTTTTTTTGTGCATTTTTCAAAATGGTTCAATAACCTTTTTTTCATTTCTTCTTTTTGGCAAACACTATTGCTAGCTCCCCTGTCCTTTCCTGTAAAAAAGAAAAAAAAGTAACTCCTGGTAGCGAATAAGCATAATCAAACAGACAAATCTGCAGATTTGCCATGTCTGAAAATATGTCTAATTCTACACCATGAATTCAGCATCCCTGTCAGTAAGTGGGTGGCATGCTTCATTATCAGCCCTCTGGAATTGTGGTTGATCATTGCATTGATCACAGTTCTTTAAGTCTTTCAAAGTTGTTTTTCCCTGTAATGTTGTAGTTATTGTATAAATTGCTCTTCTGGTTCTACTCACTTCACTCTGAATCAGTTCTTACAAGTCTTCCCAGTTTTAGCTGAAACTATCCCTTTTGTTGTTTCTTCTACAATAGAATTTCACTTATGTACTGTCATTTTTTAAGCCACTCCCTAACTCATGGGCAGCTCTTTATTTCCTTTTTTTTTTGTGCTACAACATAAATATTTTTGTGTATATGGGTCTTTTTCTTTCAACTTCAGATTATAGATTGAGTAATGGTATTGCTGGGACAAAGGGTATGGTGACTTCTTGCAGCATACTTCCAAATTGTTTTCCAGAATGGCTGCACTAATTAACCAATAGTGCTGAGTGCCTGTCTTCCTACTGTAGCCTTTCCTATAAGTCATTTTTCTCCTTTATGATCTTTCCCAATGAGATGAGACTCTTGAGTTGCATTATTTGTATTTCTTTAATGAATGATTTGGAGCATTATGGCTGTTGATAGCCTGGCTTTCTTTCTTTGAGACTTACATGTTCATAACATTTGATCATTATCTATTAGGGTAACAGTTAACTCTTGCAAAATTTTTCCTTGGTTAGGAAATAGGTCTTAGATTTCCCTCTTTCCAGACTTCTAAAGGCACATTTCCTAAGAAAAGGTACATTTCTCATACCAGCTCTTCTTTAAAAATCCTATATACATGAGATCCTACCTAATTTATGTTTCTCATATCACTTACTGAAAGTTAAGTACATTCTCTTTCTATATTTAAATGTATTACTTGATTGTTTTGAAATAAATGCTCAGCATTTTCCTGTTTGAATGCTGCTTTTAAACAATGTGGTTTAGAAAATGGCCTATATCCAAGAGTTATTTTGTCTTAATGAAAAGGATAATATACCTGTAATATTGATTTTTGGTCTTTATCATGTTAATTTAATTTCATTTGACTGAATCATTACTGGAATAACTTCTAATTAAAATTTCATAATTTTTCATCAAAGGCAGTCCATTTTAGAGTGAACTAGTGGATTCTGTGGCAATATGAAAGGATTCCAAATTTTATGTTTTATTTATGCTTTTTCTAGGCAAGCCCAGCCCTAGCCAGATGTGGTTTTCTACCCTTCCCTCTTCCCCTTCCCCCTCCCACCATGTCCTACCTCCAAGAGTCTCTACCAACTAGGGAGTGAAATTTCTGTCATTAACTATTCATTTGGGTTTGAGGCATTGCCTGTAGAAGTCTTTCAGAATGGCTGTGAGATGCTTGCTGTGTATCTCTCTAAGTAAAATGTAAGGTCCTTGAGGCCAGGGACTTTCTCACTTTTGTGTTTGTATCCCTAGTACCCAGTTAGTAGTAATTGTTCTTTTCAAATGGTTTTTAAAAAGTAAATAAAAGCTTGATCCTGAAGCAGAGTTTACAAAAAAATTTTTGCATGCCACTTGAGGATCATCCTATTAAGTATGCATCCTGTAAAGTAATTGTAGTTTCCAAGCAGAGTCAGATGGAGCAGAAATCTTGTAAAGAGTCATGAGGGATTTGCACCCATGGTGTGCCTCTGCAGTTAGTTTCTCATCTGTCTGTTTTGGCCAAGAAGAGCTAGATGACAAAGAAAAGGAAACCACTTCTTTCTCTTGCAAATAAAATTGTTTAGGTCCCAGTGATTAATAGGGCATAGTCACAGATTTAGTTCATTAGTGTGGCAATTATGCCTAGCAAAACATTAACACATTAGAAGGAATTAGTATCCCATCTACTGGCTCCTATTTTACTGCCTGCAGACACAACCAAGTCTTTTCATCTTTGAAAAACCATCACTAGATTGCATTGCCTCTTCTAATTATCTTCCCATATTTCTCCCTGGCTTTTTTCAGCTAAACTCTAAGGAAAAGCTATCTACACTTGTTCCCTCCACTTCTTCCCCTCTCTTTTTAACCCCATGCAGTTTGCTTTCTAACCTCAATACTCAACTGAAACTACTGTCCCCAAAGTTATCAATAATCTCTTAATTTCCTATTCTAATGGCCTTATCTCAATCTTCATCCTTCTTGACCTTTCTGAAGTATTTGATAGTATTGGCCACCTCCTCCTAGATCCTCTCTCTTCTTTAAGTATTTGTGACACTGCTTTCCTGGCTCTTCTCCTTTTCCACTGGCTACTTCTCAGTCCCATTTGCTGCCTCATCCCTGTCACATCCCCAACATTGAGGATACTCATAGCTCTGTCCTAAGACTTAGTCACTTTTCTCTCCACAGATTCTCACTTTGTGACCACATCAGTTCCCTTGGGAACTGATTCAGTTACTGTCTCTGTGCAGATGACTCCCAGATCTATTTATCCAGCTCTTGTATATCTCCTGAGCACCAATAAAGCATTGCTTACTGCCTATTTAGATATTTTATACTGGACATCGTATAGGTATCTCAAACTGAACATGCCTGGAATAAATCATCATCTTTTCTCACCCAAACTCACCTCTGTTCTAAACTTCCGTATTACTAGGGAGAGCATCACCATCCTTTTAGTTACCCAGGTCACAATCTCTATATCAGCTAGTGACTCCTCACTTCCACTCACCCTACATGTCCAATTTCATCACCAAATCTTGCTTTTTTTCCCACCTTACCATCCCTCACCTTAACTCTTTCTTCCCCACTCACACAGCCACCACCTCAATTTAGATGCTTCTCCCCTCTTGCCTATACTATTACAACCACCTTCTATTTGGTCTTCCTACCTCAGGTATCTCCCTATTCCAGATACATCCTTCAAACATCCACAAAAGTGATTTTCTTTAAACATAGATCTGATCTCAGTCCCCTTCCCCCTGCCACACACTCTTAATAGACTCTTAACAGGGATGGGGAACCGCTTCTAGCAGCTCCCTGTTAGGTTTAAGAATAAATGTGAACTCTTTTATTTGGCATTTAAGGCCCTTTTTAACCTGACTTCTCAACAGTCACACCACCCCAAGTCTCCTGATCTACCTATAGAAATCTAAATAGAATGCTTATTAAATTTGCAGATGACCAGCCAGAAGAAGTTAACCTTACATGTCTCCACATACTCGATACTCCAGTAATGCTGGCCCGGTTATTGTTCCTTAACACACAGCATTCCATCTTCTGACTCTTTTTGTTGGCTATCCCACTAGTGCCTGGAAAGAAGGGTTGCAATACCTTTTGAGGCATGTTTATTGTTTTTTTTATTTCAAGTTCTCTTGTCCACAAACACATATCAATCAAGCTAGCTATAAAATGGCTTATGAATATTTTATAAAAATTTCTCATTAGAACAATCCGTGTTCAGTTAAGAGAACTTTCTTATTAGAATGCAGTTAAAGAGAATCCCTAGATCAGCGAACTACATACAGTGAAATCTGAGCTTGGAAAAAGCTAAAAAAGGAGGTGAACCATTTTTAAAGGTCACAAGAAAAAGAATTCTGCAAATATAATAGTAATGAGAAGAGTCAGGAAGTAGAATCTCATTTGACCTTTATCTCCTCATACTGTAATGATTAGATTGAGACTGGCTGGACTTTGATTGTCTAAATAATTCATAATAGATTGTGAATGAGCAGGGGCAGCTAGGTGGCACAGTGGATAGATCACTGGCTCCGAAGTCAGGAGGACCTGAGTTCAAATCCGGCCTCAGACCAAACACTTGATGCTTACTAGCTTTGTGACCCTGGGCAAGTCACTTAACCCCAGTTGCCTAAAAGGAAAAAAAAATGTGAAAGAGGATGTTCTTACTTCCAAGTCTGGTATGGTGGACCACTCAGAGCCCACGGGTTCATATAAACAATTACTTTAATAAAAACCTCCAATAACCCTGGATCAAAGTAATCCACAAGAAGGTGAAAAGCATTCTAGCAGTCTTCAAAAAGGTTCCCTCAAATTTCCAGAATTCCCTGATAACCTGCTCAAACCTTTTTATAGCCTCCTTGTCCAAAGGGCTGACACCTGATGGTGAGATTTATTCAAATTGCTGCAGGTCTGCTCAAGTGCTACCTGTTTCACCATAGCCACAGTAGAAGGCATGGAATTATGAGGGTTAATTTAAGTCCTTCTAGTTCAGGGGTCTCAGAAGTAGGGGTCATGGCCTAACACCAACAAGACAGTGGCTTAACCCCGTGATTTGTGTGTATGATATCTACCAGCTGGAAGATGGGAAGATGAATCCCATCTCACTCTACCTGCAGTAGCCAGTTGAGAAGCTTGTCTCCATTGCAAACAGACTTACCCTTACACCTCAACACTTTCTCCCACCTTCACACTCCCACTCTCTCCCATTTCTGAGCTAGTCGTTACCCCACCCTGGAAATTATCATTTTAACCACTACCTGGACATGCATGGCAACATCTATGCCGGTACCATTGGGAAAATACCCCCCCCCCCCCCCCCCGCTCCTAGCACGCCTAGCCTCTGTCCCCCAGATTACCTTGTAGCTGAGCAGTGACCAGTAAGAGCCCTTCTCTCACCCGCACTTTTCATTTTAGGTGGGACAGAATGAGTCAGACAGGATGAGTGGGCATGTATCTTCATCACAAATCTCAAGACATTGTCTTTCTCTCCAAACCCACCCATCTTCCAAGTCTTCCATACTTCCGTGTTCCTGTCTAGAACAGTGGTGTCAAATTCAAATAGAAATGGATTTCTGTGGGCTGTATTTTGACTTAGAAAACCATAAATTAACATTTATTTTATTAAACATTTCCCATTTACTTTTTAATCTGGTTTTGGCCTCAGTTGGGAATTTTTCTGGCCAGGAATTTGACACTTCTAGTCTAGAAGACCACCATCCTTCCAGTCATTTAAGTTTACAGCTTCAGTGTCACTTGCTCTCACCTCACACACATATCTAGTTATTGTCAAGTCTTGACAAGCTTCTCTACACAACATCTCCCTTGGGTTCCTCCTCCCCACTCACAAAACTTCTGCCTTAGTTCAGGCCCTCCTCACCTCTCACCTGAGCTGTTGTAATAGCCTCCTGATTGGTTTCCTTGCCTCCCTCCGGTCATCCATCCTCCCCACAGCTGCCACAGTGGTTTTTCTAAAGTGCAGGTCTAATCATGTCAGCCTTCCTCCTTAACTCCAGTGGCTCACTTTTGATTCTAGGATCAAATATCATTTTATCCTGGTTTAATTTCTATTTTTGCATAAGTACTACATAAATTATAAATAAAGTAATATACACATATTGGGAGTCCATTTTCAAACATTTCTTACTAATAAGAGTGTGTAGTCATGAAAGTGTGGAGACCACTGATGTAGTAGAGAGAAAACTGGCCTCGGGGCCAGAAAGCCTGGATTCAAGTCCCACCTTTGACATACTAGCTGTGTGTCCCTGGACAAACCACTGGAGAGAGGTCTCAGTGGCCTCTCTAAAATTAGAAGGTGGAGAAAAGTGCCTATCTGCATTGGTATAGAAAATGACTCCCCTGGAGTTCCGTACATGAATGAAATCACAGGTCTGGGTCAGGAAGAAAGAAAGTGAAAAATGATAGTAAAATGTGTATCCCTTGGACAAATCAGAGCACTCTTAGTCACCCATGGCCAAAGCATGTTGAGGATCAAGTACGTGTTTCAACATCCTGTATCCCGTGGTAAATCTATTAACCAATCTATTCTTATTCACGTGAAAAAGATCAGTCTGTGGAGAGTTCCTTTTCCATTCCTATCAAGAAACATCTAGGTCTTCAAAATAAAATGTAGACCAGGCAAGTGATTAATAAACAAGTCTTTACATCTGTTTTGTTGGGAGGCGAAGTATTTTTAAAATTGGGAAATATATCAAAAATATATCTTGTAAATTTATTATCTTTAAATTTTTCAAAAATGCCATCACTTTATTTACTTCAGAGTATGAATTACAGGACCTTGCATTGATTTAGAGTACTTTAAAAAATTATCCACCAAATAGGAAACTTTCAGGAGGAATTTTTTTGCTGTAAAATGAATTTGCTTCACTTTTATTAGTACCATTAGAAACATTTCAATTTCTTCTTTTAACTTACATGCTTCTCAAAGTACTTTGGCATAAGGAAGCCAGTGCTTTTCAGAATAATTTAGAAGTGCCCTGTGCTCTAACTCTATTTCATTATACCTCTCAATTCCTCATCTGTAAACTACTGATAATGATATCTTCTGCCTCACACGGTGCTAGTAATTTATGGATAATATGAGTTTAAAGTTTACAAAATGCTTTGCAAACTTTAAAATTCTATATAAATTTAGAAATTGAAATTAATTATTTTGTAGCTACCAATGCAGCACTTTTGCTGCTCATTTATTGTCTTGTGCTCTAGCTGCAGGGCAAGCCCACCTTCCAGTCAAACATGCTCTTAATGATGTCTCATGTATCTTAAAAGCTAATTGTAAAATTAGCATTTCAAAAATTAGGCAAGTAGATCTTAAACTAGAAAAATGAAAGAAGAGAGGAAAAGAAAGGAGTGGTCACCTGAGTGAGTGAGCTTGCTGGGAGGAACCTCAGAGTCCCATGTAATCCAACCCCCTCATTTTATAGTTGAGGAAACTGGAACCTGAGGTGGTTGTGACATCATCATCATCATTATTATCACCATCATTCTAATTGCTGTTACTGTTATAAGTCACAACCTCCTGGGTTCCGGTTTCCTCATCTATAAACAATAATTATTGTCATTCTCATCAATATTATTCTAGCGTTCGTATAGAAGTTTAAGGTTTGCAAAGCACTTTGCATATGTTATCTCGTTTAGTCTTCATAACAGCCCTGTAAGGTAGGGCTGTTATTATCCCCGATTCACAGATGAGGAAACTGAGACCGAGAGAGGTTGAGTGATCTGCCTAGCATCATACAGCTAATAAGTGTCTGAGGTCATACTTGAATTCAGATCTTCTTGACTCGAAGTCCAATGTTTTTAACTCTGTCACAGCTACCAAGCAGCAGAAGTAGAATTTGGACCTAAAAATTTGACTCCAAAAATGTGTATGTCTGTATTTATCAGCATCCACTGACTTGGGTTATTTGTGGCATATTGGACCATATGATCTAGACCTGAAAGCACCTTAGAAATCCTCCCAAGGGTGGGGAACCTACAGCCTTGAGGCCACAAGTGGCCCTCTAGGTCCTCAGGTGCAGCCCTTTGAATCCAAACTTCACAAAACAAATCCGATGAAGTTTGGATTCAGTCAAAGGACCTCACTTGAGGACCTACAGGGCCACAAGTTCCCCATCCTTGCAGTCAGTGCCCCACAGCTTACTGATGGAGAGCTGCAGCCCAGAGAGGTGTGAAATACCTGCTGAGGCAGCACTAAGATTTAACAATCATCCTTCCATCCTAATGATGATCCTAAGATGATTATCTTACCTCTACAATGCTTTGAGATCAGCTCTCTTCTGACCCAGAGAGGACTGGGTGTTTGGATCATGAGGATTTTAGGCAACAACAATCTACCAGGTCAGAGAGGAAGTCAGTATGCTTTAGTGAATGAGTACCTATCCCAACAAAATCTCAGTTCCTTTAAGTATCCAAGTAAGTAACCACGTAGTCAGCAAAAAGGGATCGCATAGCAGTAATATGGGGTTGGCTGCTGAGGCTTAATGGGGTGCTGATAAATGCTGAACAACCAGCTATTCCCCTCCACTCTGGGAACTAGACGATCTCTGAGGCCCGTTCCAGGACTCAATTGCCAGATCATCCTGTATTGTCTGACCAAAGTAGAACAGTTTTCATAAAGGTAGCCTCTAACTTCATTAAAATTCTTACATTTAGTACACGTTTACCATTTCATTTGCAAACTTAGAGGCAGTTTGTTATATTGATTGGTTACCATGGAAATAAACTCAGAAAAAGTATTTGGCAACTGTGACCAAAGTCACATTAGTGCTTTCCCTTCTGTGACTCATCTGCTTCTTTTGAATTTCATAAGTCACTTAACCACTTAAAAGAAACAAAGCAGCATAAAAAAGATTTATTTTAATACTGCTAAAGGCAAGTGTTTCTAAAACAAATAGAATGATATAGTTCTAGATACCAACTGCCATAACCACTGAACACATTAGAAAGGATAAACATTGCTACAGTCCTTGTTCAAGCATAATGCCAAAGACTTTTCATAGAGCCTTTATTTTACCTTGTTTCACATTCCTTTTTAATGGACTAATTTCTGTTGACTGCTTATATTAATTACAATACCACAAAAGTGCTCTGTTGAATAGACCATTGGTAAGATAAGAATATGAAAAAAATCAACACCCAACGAAGAATTTTGGATTTGATGTTAAAGGATTAGGACCTCAGTTTCTTTACTTTAAAAATAAGAGCATTGGGTTAGAAAAGCTTGATCTTGGGGGCAGCTAGGTGGCACAGTGGATAAAGCACCGGCCCTGAAGTCAGGAGGACTTGAGTTCAAATCGGCCTCAGACACATAATACTCATTAGCTATGTGACCCTGGGCAAGTCTTTTAACCCCATTGCCTAACCCCAGCCCCCCCAAAAAAAGCTTGATCATTCAAGCAGGCAAGATCACTTCTTTTCTCCTTTCCTCTCTTCCATGACCCTTTTACCCTCTCCTAGTAGAGTTTTGAATGAGGAGAAATGGCCAAAAGGCCATTGGAAGAATGTCTCTACATCCAGCATAAGTACAAGGGAGCATATCAGATATGAGCCTAAGACTTTTATTTTTTAATTGAAGTTTTTACCAGTTTAAACATATCGGCTTAGAACATGATCTTGTTCAAATTCTACACTATTGAGTTTAGAATCTGATCTTGTGGTTAGCTTGTGGAACAGTAGGGAAAGTGCTGAACTGAGAGTCAAGAGACCTGGATTCTTCTCTTCAGTACTCATTTGTATGTACAGTACTATAGCATAATACACATATTTTACTTTCTAAATTCTGCTGTAAGGACTTGCACAGAGTCATGGCTCCCCTGGCCAACAGCCTGTCAACACAATGACCACTTCCTCCTTTCTTCTCTCCCCAGTGCCCTGACTGTTGAGCCAAACCTGGTATAGGAATTTAAGTTCTGGAATCCAGGGCATCTGTGAAAGTTCTTGGGGCTTTCTATGCCTTTGTCCCTGTGGTAACAACCTTCTTCCCTCTCCTTGTTCTCCATCTATCAGCATATTTGTGCAGCCCTGGCCATACACTTGGAGAGAGGTTCCACAAAGGTTCCACACTGTGAACATGTCCTGTTACTTCAGCCTTGGCAGTTGGGAAGGAAAAGAATGCCCAGTCTGAGCACTGGTGAACCAGGACCTCTGCAGGAGGAGTAAAGTCAGTGTGGCTGCTGGTTGTTTTCAGTTTCGGTATTATAAAGAAAGTTTTTTCCAAAGTGTAACCTCTCATTCAGATTTTCAAGTTTCTTAATATGGTATTTGGGCTGTGAGGAATTTCCGACTTAAATTAGTATCATAGCACAGTGGAGTGGATAGAGTAGATAGAGAGCTGGACTTGTGTCAAAAGGATCTGGATTTGAATCTTGCCATAGACACTTAATAGCACTGTGACTCTGTCAAGCCAGTTAACCTGTATCAGCCTCAGTTTCCTCATCTGTAAAATAATGATAATAATAGTATTTCCCTCATAGGGTTTTGTGAGGATCAAAATGAGATTTTACACACATGCACATTCACACACGTTTAGTGCTTTGCAAACGTTAATATAAAAATTGTATATAAATGTTATATAGAAATATATATTTATATAAAAAGTATATTATATAAAATTATATGTAAATACAGATTATATATAAGGTTGTATATAAATATTATTACATCCAAATGGGAAGTTAATGACATTTCTAGCTAATTAAGAATAAAGTCATTAGTAAAGATAAAAAAGGCATTACATTTATCACAAAAATACATGAACTAATATATATGTGCCTGCCATTGTGGCAAAATGTAGTGAGATAAAACATGTTCAAACCAGTCCCAGGGACAGATAGGTGGCACAGTGGATAGTGGAGGAGGACCTGAGTTCAAATTTGGCCTCAAACCAAACACTTGATGCTTACTAGCTGTGTGACCCTGGGCAAGTCACTTAACCCTAATTGCCTAAAAAGAAAAAAATAGTCCCTCAAGAGGGACAGCCTTCTAATGAGAAGGCATTTAGTCAACTATCTTAAGGAATTTTCAGTGGTAATTTTTAATCTCCCTGATAGTTTCCTTATCATCTGCATTTAAAACCTGAGCCTTGTGTAAGATGTGACTCCTCTATTATATGCAGGGCAAATTAGAACCTATGTCTGAGATTTCTTATCTGTCACATGGGAATATCTGCCCTATTTACTCTATAGGATTTTTATAAGGACAAATGAGACAATAGATATGAAATGAGTTAGGTTTATTATTATTATTATTATTATTATTATTGAAATGTGATTTGCTGCCTCTGACACTTCCTAGTATTTATATATATAATATATATATATATATATATATATATATATATATATATGGCCCAGAGCAAGTTATTTGATCTTTCAGACAACTTTGTAAGACTAAATTGTAGTTCAGTTGCCAATCTGCATTTGTAGAAGGAGTTTCCTCAGCAGCAGCTTGACATATCTACAGAATCACAGAACTGCCTACCTTGCATTCAAGGTCTGCAAATACCTCTAATGATTACTTTCCCAAAATTGACAGGCATTTATCACACAAAATTGACAACAGCTGTCAACAGCAGGAAGAAAGGGAGTGTTTGGATAATGAAGAAAATGAATAATGAGTCCCTAAAATAAAAGGGCAGCCCATTTTCTCTTTTAAATTCTGCTAAATGAGTGGTGACTAAAGTAGGACAATTCTTTCTGAAATCTTAATCTTCAGGTGTTCTGGAAAAATCTTTTGACATTCTGATCTAATTTCACTATTGAATGATGACAACAATAATGGCAATTGGCATTTATATAGTCATTATTTTCAAGAACTTGATGGAAAGCAGTTTGGAAATATTTAAATAAAGTGACTTAAGTGTACATAGAGACTCTGTTACTGAGCTAATTATACCCCAAGGAGACCATAATTGGTAAGGACAAAGTCCTCATATATACCAAAGTGTTTTCTTGAATTGGAAACAATGTAGATTCCCATCAAATGGAAAAAGGATAAACAAATTGCGGTACATGAATGTAATGAAATGTTACTGGGCTATAAGAAATGATGTGTGATAAATACAGAGAAGCATGGAAAGATCCATATGAACTGATACAGGTTGAGGTAAGCCAACCACGAAATCAGTATATGTAAAAACTACAATAATGTGAAGTAAAAAAGCAGCCACACACAATTCCAAAGTGAATGTGACAGGGGTTGCACATTATGCTTTTTCAGGTTTTTTTTTCTATGTGTTGATTGGTTATGCTGGGTTTTTGGCTCCTTTTTTTTCCCTTAAAAATATTTGTTGTATGGGTTGGACGTCTAGGAGGGGAAGGAGAGGTTGAAGGATACCAGAGAAAACTATGATGATGTAAAAAAACAAAGGCCATCACTAAAAACTTGTTTTTAAAGGGAGAGTTAGTCCAGGGTGGACTGGTTCATATTAGTGGAGAGAAGGGGAGAGATATGAGAGAGATGATGGAGGTAGAATTTTGGTACTGATTAGATAAGGGGGGGAAAGGGTTGAGGGAACAAAGAAGAGTAAAGGAGTGTCTTCAAAGTTATACATCTGCATGACTGAGAGAATGATACTGCCCTCAACAAAGGTAGGGAAATCTGGAAGAGGGTTGGGTTTGAGAAGATGTTTTGAATATGCTGAATTTGAAATGCCAACAAGATATCCAGGTAAATAGGTCCAGTAGGTAGACCTAGCCACCCTAGCCATCCTTGTTTATTACAGAGCAAAATCAAGTCAACAATTGATAAAATAACAGCAACATTATAATGACAAGTAACTTTGAAAGCTTTAAGAACTTTTATTAATGCAGTGACTAACTGTCATTTTGAGAGGACTGATTATGAATCATGCTACCCTGGTCTGGACCACTATTTCATGAAGCACCCAGGCCATACTGACTTCATTCCTGGCTCCTCCCCTCATTCTCTGTACTTCTCTACCTCTTCACCTGCAGCCTTGCCCCCACACTGCTCTTCCACTTCTCAACTCCCTTTTATATTCTGTCTTTTGAATGTTAATTGAATGTAAGTTCCTTGGGTAGGGCCTGTTTTTTGTTTGGTTGGGTTTTTGGCTTGTGTTTCTCTCCCCAGCCCTTAAAACACATTCTCACACTTTCTCTCTCTCTCTCATTCTTGCTCTCTGCCCCCCCTTCTGTCTGTCTGTCTGTCTGTCTGTCTCTCTCTCTCTCTCTCTCTCTCTTCTCTCTCTCTCTCTCTTCTCTCTCTCTCACTCTCTCACTCTCTCTCTCCCCCCACCCCCATCCCCCTCTTTCCTTCCCTCCTGACAGAAGTGATGGATAAGAGATACAAAATGAAATATACATTTTGGGATATGGCCAATGAGGCCAATTGGGGTGGGGGGAAGCTTTACTATTTATATTTGTTATATGGCTTTTGTTTGAGGGAGAGAAAATATATGCTTGTTCATGAAAAAAAAAGTTTCTTTGCAGATCTTTTCCATTTTTCATCTGCCTCTTTTCATTTTTATCCTTAAATTCTCTTAGGATGACTTTCTTTAGTTAAGTCTTTCACCAAGCATTCCTTAAATCTCTTTTACCCTTTGCTGCTTCTCTCTGCTTTATGAGGCAGTACTGCTCATAATCTTCCATTGTGCTTTTAAATTTTTACCAACAATTTTATATTATAAACTGATAATTGACTTTGACTGCCAGCCTTCTCCATTTGGCGCATAAATTGTGTTTGCTAATTCAGTTGCTTTTTAGACTTGGTTTCCTTCTTATGAAAGTTGATTTATATTAAATTTCTGTGTGGAATTTATTATGCTTTTTATCAATTTAATTTACAACATCTTTTACCCATTTTCATTATCAGTAATTTGTTTACATAGGTCAGCATTGAGTTGTTTCAGCTGTGCATCATATCTTTTTTTCCATCAATCTTCTTCCTTAGCCTTTCTTCTGAGCTTTGTATTTTTGGTGTCTGCCAGTTATACCTTTACCAAAGTCATTGATAAGAATATTAAACACTGATCACTTGGGCACTCTATTGGAGACCTTTTTCCAAGTTGTCTTTGAACCATTAATAATTATTTTTTGATTAGGCTGTTCAAGTAGTTCTGAATCTACTTAATTATATGAGTGTCTAACCCACATCTCACTCATCTTGTCCTCAAGGATAGCAGGAGAAGCTTTGTCAAATACTTTGTTACAATCTAGGTCAACTATTATCCTGATCTTTACCAGTTTAAATACCCTTTTAAAAAAAAAAAGGAAATAAGGTTAATCTCATGAGAGGATGGTTCTTATCCCTGCTTCCTTTTTTAATTACTCACTGTCTCTTTATGAACACATTCTAGAATTTTGAAACGAATTAAATCAAACTCACTGGCATGTAGTTGCAAGACTCTGTACTTTTTTCCTTTAAGAGAATTCCTGTAGAACATTCTGTCCTTTTCTCCATGATCTTTGAAAGATTGCTGAGAATATCTCAGCCATGATATCTCCCAGTTTTTTTTCAGAACTCATCGAGGTACCATTGCTCCACTTGTTGTGGATATCAGCTTCCTGTTAAACCTTTCCATACTATCCATTCCAGTACCAAAACTATTATTCTCAACAGAGAAAACAAGGAAAATAGTAGTTGAGTTCTGCCTTTTTTCTCTGTTGTCCATCATCATTGTCACATCTACCAGTTTCTTACTTTCTTTGATCCTCCTCTTTTCCCTAACATAGTTTTTAAAAAGACCAACACCTTTTTATTGTTCTTGACAGCCTCATTTTACCTTTAGCATACCTTACCAGTTTTTGACATGTTATTAGACTACATGTATAGGTTAAATTCAGCAATTAATTTTCATCAAGATTATAGTATACAAAAAGAAGTAACAAAATGATTTGCAATAGTACAGTGATTTGTCTCCACATTGACATTATTTAATTCTTTGTGATTGTTTGGAATTTTCTCTTACGTAGTTATTACATTTAGAGGACAATGGCAGTGGATAAGGGCCAAGTTTGGGTTCAAGTCCTGACTCTGACACAATGACCATGGGCAAATTCCCTAACCTCTCAGCACCCAGTCACATCTCTAAGACTGTTAGTTGTAGATGAGAGGCAGCATGGCAGAGCACACAGTGTCAGAGAAACTTGGGTTCAAATACTACCTAGTTGAGCAGCCCTGTATTAGAGGCAACCTAATGCTGGCACCATGGTCTGGTTCAATGTTGGAAACATAATCAGAATTATAGGGGCAGTTTACAAAAGATTTTGTTTTATTTTGGTTAGCTATGGTACAGAGAAGATCTCAGCAAGAATGAAGTAGTACTTAGCTTCAGCTTTGGTAGATGTGTCCTCCCTCATTCCTATGAGACTTGTACACCGTTAGTGAATAGCTACATCAAGGGAAGGATTCCTAAACTGCCATATGCTATTGAGACCTACTGAACTTGCAAAAGCAAAGCTGGCTGTCAGACAAATATACTAACAAATTGTGTCTCCTTCCACATTCCAAGGAGAATTCTAACAGCTCTCTAGAAACCTTGGTAGGACCACTGACATCCAAGGTGGTCTCATGTAACTACATTTCATAAAATGATCCCAGGTTTCTAGGGGGATGGGAGTAGAGAATGAGAAGGGAACAGAATATAGCTAAATTTATTCAGTAAATCATGTTATAGCTATAAATGAGGTAACTGTGTATGCACATTAGGGTATTTAGTTGTATTTTTTTTTCCAGTTTACTCTGGGTGGTAAAAGTATTTCAAAGGAAACAAATTTCCTAAACAGATTTTTAGAACAAGAACATCAATTTGTATTTTTCCCTTTTCATTATTTTCTAAAAATCCTAGTTGCCGATTTAGTATCACTTCTCAGACTAACGTACAAGAGTGTAATTTTTTAAAAACACGTATCTATTATAGTAATTAACTGGTTTCTTTGTCTTCCCCCCCCCCCCCAGGGAGGTGGTCCAAGCAAACTGTGTTCACTGGAGAAAGAAGTTCTCATTTATGTGCAAAATGAGCGCAAGTGCTACTACGGGTGTTCTGGATCCTTGCATCTACAGGGTCTCTGTGAGGAAGGTAAAAATAGCACACAATTTATTCCCTTTTACAAACCATAATTATTTCCATAGTAATTTTCTTTGTATAATTATTGCTATGCCTTTTCTCTTTTGTTATACCTATGATATGTCATGTAATTGGGCTTCCCATGATTGTAATTATAATTTGCTATAGAAATACAGTAAATTTGAAGAAAATTTTAAAGTCAGAAATGTAAACACAAGGAAAGAAGCCTGTCTCATTAGCATTGTATGTCTTACTACTAATAATACTGCATAATCATATTGGGGTTTAAACAAAAGATAAACCTGGAAATATGCATAAAGAATATATGTACATAATAAAGGTATATGATACTATAATAGTACCTTTAGAAGACAAAAAAAAAACCAAATTCATCTAAAGGGACCTTAAATCAGCTTGTATACTCTACTTTTTTATGCTAGGTCAAAAGAGATGCATTTTAACCTTCTTGGTGACTCTCTTTGGAATGAACTAGGCAGCTTTAACTTTCTGTCATCCACATAACTGAATTTATTTTAGTAAAACAAGGATAACTAGAGAGTCAGAGGATTTGTATTCAGATCCTGCTGCTTCTACTTACTAGCTGTGTGACCTTGGCAAGTCATTTAACCATCCTAAGCCTCAATTACCTCATCTGTAAAATTAGAGTAATAATTCCTACCATAACTAATTCATAGTTTTGTTGAGAGGATAAAATGAGATAATGTATTTGCAAGCATTTTGTAAATTTTAAGTGTTATGTTATTTTGGATAACTGTATTTTGACATTAGGTCAAAAGTACAATTTCAGCTAGTAAATTTGGGCTTTTATGAACCTGTTACTGAGATTGGAATTAAAATAATCTCTTCTTGAAATAGAAATGAGTGTGGGGCAGCTAGGTGGCATAGTGAATAGAGCTCTGGCATTGGAGTCAGGAGGACCTGAGTTCAATTCAGCCTCAGACACTTAACACTTACTAGCTGTGTGACTTTGGGCAAGTCACTTAACCCCTATTGCCTCACCAAAAAAAAAAAAATAGAAATGAGTGAGCCATTATTTATTTAACTATTGTTTAAGCATTTTAAAAAATAGAATACTAATCAAACTGTTAAAAAGGTTCTGGGCTTGGAATTACTAAAACGCACACACACAAAACACATAAATAGGAAACTATCGTTAAAGTATAGGCAGAAGATGAAGAATTTTGCATTTTAGTCACTGTGTTGGTAGGTTTTATTCATTCTTAAAAGGAGTCATATGATTCTCTACCACTTTGCACTGTGTTTACTTGCTGTATTCCGTGAGTTAAGATAACAGTGCAGCGTATTGTATCTTTAGTGGTAGGGCAGGAGCAGGAGACCGAGGTCACAATGTTATTTTCCTGGGCATCAAGATTTACTGTACCTGCATGCAGAGATGAATACTTCTAAATAATCTAGATTATGAATGATCCGAATCATTTTGAGTTTGTACTCATTGCCTTCTGTTGTGTGTATCATTTTGTTTATTTTGTTTGCCTCAAACTTAGTTCAACAAACATTTGTTAAAGACCACAACTTGTAACTTTGCTCTGCTATTTTGATGAGTGGCATTTACATTGTTGTAAGCCCTTCTGCAAATTACTACAGTTGATTTTTTTTTAATGTGCTTAAATAATTACCTTAACTTGAAGAGGGCCCATCAAACGATTTCCAGGTGCCTATCTTCAAATGATTATGTTTCCAACTAGGCTGTAAAATCTACACGTAGTAAAACCTTAATTGACAAAAATAGCCAAGGAATAGGAGTGTTCTAGGTAAGGACTAATCTGAAAACCCTTTTTTGTTGTAACCTTTGTCACTGAAAACTTTTTAAAATATATTGTCACTTTTTTGTTTGTTTTAGGTAGAATATAATGAACATAGTGTTTTCTTTCTTTCATTTCTTTCAAGCATCCAGAACATCCTCATTAAGCCTTCTTCTTTGATTAAGTCCTTACTATCAATTTTTCCATATTATTTTCATCTTTCTCATGTAAGTTGAATCCTGGGAAAATTCTGGTTAACTCAGGTTAGCATACCTCAAATGGATACATACATATTGTTAATGTGATTGCCTTCCTCTTTCCCCACCAAAAAAAAGACCCACTACATGTGACATTTGTACTTTCAGACATTTTGTTTGCAATTAAAACCTATTATGGTATTTTGGCATTTTATCATGAAATATGAATGCATATGATAGTGATTTCTTTGATATGTAGTATTTTAAGGCTTTGGTGAATAATTAATTATGGCTGTATTTTGTGTCTTTCGCAGGAATTAAAAGGCGGAAAGGCTTATGCAAAGGTAAATAGATATATTCTCTAAAGCAATGTTTTTAAAAAATTGTTTATTCCTTATTGCTGTTTGTAGGCGTGAAATTTGAGCAATTCAGGATGCAATTTATATCAACTACATGTGCTACTTCCTAATTGAAGACTCAACTGTAAGATAACTAATTGTCCCAACAGCATAAACTAAGGAAGGCACAAAGAAATTAGAGTCCCATAAATACGGAAAGGGGGGGAGGGGGAATGGTTAAAACCTAATAACTTATATGAGGGTAATATGGATCTGTTTATGGATACTCTGTATTTGAGCTCTGAGGTGAAATGTTGGTAATCTTTCCTTTGTAAGTCCAATTATCTTGAAACTCCAGCTCCTGGAAACTAGCTAGTTCTGGTGGATATGATACAAACCAATTTGGTCCTGTGTTAACATGCCTCCAATGGATACATGCATTGCTACAATCACCAGTGAATCCTTGGGCTATGAGAATGACCATGTGGTTATCATGCAGGTAACTCCCTCAGATCTCAGACATTTTTGGAGTCCTGCACTGGACTCCAAAAGCTCAATGGATTTAGCATTCAGTGCTGCTCATTGCATGAAATTACGATGTAATATGGTATAAAGGTAGATGGTACCTATAACTGAATGTGTGAAACCAAAGGAGACTTCATCACCCCTTCAGTTTATTCTCCTTTCTCGCACCAGAGCTATCTGTCTTCACTGCTTCCACTTCCCCTCCTCTCACTCATTTCTCAGCCCTTTGTACTCTAGGTTCCAGTCTCTCCACTCTACTGAAACAGCTTTCTCCAAAGGTCACGATGGTTTCTCAGTCTCAAACTTGGACTTTTCTCGGTCCCCATCCTTCTTGACCTCCCTGTAACACTGAATACTTTGGAGCTCATGCTTTCTCTTTTCTGGGTTTTCCTGACACTGACTCTCTTCTTTCTCTTCCCACCTATCTGAGCATTCCTTTTCAGCCTCATTTGCTAGAACATTTTCGTATCAGTCCTTCCACACACTGTCCTCTCCTCCCCCCCGTTATGAGTATACCTGAGTATTCTGTCCTTGGCCTTCTTCTTTTCTCTCTCTACCCTCTTTTGTGACCTTTTCAGTTCCCGTTGGTTTAATCATTATCTCTAGGCACATGACTATTAGATCTATATATCTAGCCCTAGTCTCCCTTCCTGAATTTTACTCCCACATCACCAGGTGGCTCTTGGACATTTTAAACTGGACATGCCATAGCCATCTCAAGCTCTCACATGAAATAGTAGTCCTGTCTGAAACAATTCAATTATCTTTTTCTCTTCTGAATTTCCGTTTTACTTTTGAGGGTACCACCATCTTTCCAGGTTCACAACCTATTTTCTCCTTGATTCCTCAGTGCCCCTCACCCTATCCGTCTTGTCATTTCTACTTACATGATACCCATCACATCTATCCTTTTTTCATTCAGCCTTCACCCTTGTTTAGACCCTTATCACCCTTCCTCTGGAGTTTTTCAATAGCCTCCTAACAGGTCTCTCAGTATTCCAAGCCATCTTCCAGATAGCTGCCAAAGTGATGTTCTTAAAATGCAAATTTGACCATGTCCCTCTCCTACTTAATAAACTCAAGATACCCCCCATTTTTCCTTGAAGATCAACTACAAACTCCTTTATTTGGCATTTAGAGCCTTTCACAAACCTACTTTTCTAATTTTATTACCTATTACTCCCTTTCCCACAATTTATAGTCTAGCCAAACTGGCCTATTAATTGTTCCTCATGCATGAGATTTTGTCTCCTTTCTCCATGCCTTTGCATTGACTGACCCTCTGGCTTAGAGTGCACTCTCTGCTTTCCCCAATCTCTGTTCTTTCAAGATAAAACTACATGAAGCCTTTCTTTATCCCCTGAGGAGTAATGCCTTGCAAAAATCACCTTGTATGCATTTCGCACATTTATATATGTTGTCGACTCCTTGTGATAGACTTTGTCATTATATCCCTAGTGCCTAGCATAGTGTCTGGAACATAGTGGGATTTAGATAAATGGTTATTGATTGATTGCATACTGGGCTATGACCCTCCATATAGCCTAGAAACCTATTTTATCCTTTGTTGAACCAATTGTGCACCACCAAGAGACCACTGAAACAATACATCACCCTCTAAATAGAATCTTATCTTTTTTTAAAGTGGCTCAGATTTCTTTTATATATTAATTCTGGTGACAATTTATATTAACAATAGATGTTAATTTGTATTGTAATTTTTCATAAAGTCTACTTATGGTAACAAGTATTTAATTTTTTTGAAGATACAGTATTTTCATTTTAAGAATTTAACTTTTACGTCCTTTGACATGGAAAGTGGACTTGATTTTGTGTTTATTCCTAAGGCAGTAAGAGGATTGGACCAAGTTGTAATAGGAGCTAGAGTGAGGATGCAGGAATGAGCTGTAACAGCAGAGACAAATGCTTTCTAGGGAAAATAATGATAACAACAGAGGGGGAGGAGTACAACCTAGGCAACAAAATGAGAGAGAACAAAGCTGGAGTGAGTTTCTGGTTGACAGCAGAGGCTGGGTATGAGGCCAGGCCAGTCCATCAGGGACTTGGTAGAAGAAACAGGATGCTTTCAACCACTGTAAACTGGGAGGGGGCTGGAGAGGTCATCAAAATAACATATCTTATAGTTGGTGACAGTAGAGAAGTAAGTTGTACCAGGTAGAGCATTTGGACTACTTGATTCCTGAGTGGAGGGTGAAAGCTATGCCATTTCAAGCCATTTGGCACCAAGGGGCAGTGGTGGTGAACTATGAGGTAGAGATGAACTGGGATCAGGAAAGATGGAAAAGAATAGCAATTTGTGTCTGTCTGGAAATAATGAACTTTCTGGACTAGGAGGTAGGATAATATAGTGGCAAGAGCAAACAGCCTGAGAGAGTCAGAAGACCTGAGGTCTTTCATCACTTACTAGTTGTATAGAATAGGAGTAGCAACTGGGCCTGTGAATTCATTGGTACAGGGAACTTCCAGGTGAGGAAACTCCCTCTACCTTCCCTGCATCTTAGAGTCTTAGAGAGTTACTTAGAGCACTGAAATGTTGTGGCTTTCCCCATGTGGGAACACAGGCACTCCTGGCTTTGAGGCCAGCTTTTTATCTACTCTGCTATGACTCCTCTCGTTTTGTGATCTTGAGCAAATCACTTCTCTGCTATATGCCTCGGTGACTTCATCTTAAAATTAAGATGTTAATACTTGCCTTGATTACCTCATAGTCGATGTGAGGATCAAAGGAGAGTATTTTGAGGAAGGCCTTCAAAAATTATAAAGTGCTTTTTATACAAGAGTAACATAACATCTGTCACAGACAAATTTGTTCATTAGCAAAATATTGTAGAAAATAAATAGACTAGTGCTTCTAAATATTCTACTAATATTTTCTTCTTCATAGTTGGGCTTTGCAGATCTAAACCTAGCAGAGTTTGCTGGATCAGGAAATACCACTCGTCGCTGTTTACTAGAAGGTTATGATACCAAAAATACAAGACAGGATAATTCTATTCTTAAAGTAAGCAAATTTAATTTGTGTATATGTATAAGCATATGTGAAATAGAAATGGATGAGGTTTTCTTCTTTTTAATAAATGGAAGTGCATGCTTTCAAGTAATAGACAACATTCAAGGTGAAAAGAATCTAGTCAGTGGGCGTCATGCCCTAACGTACAGTTTGACTTCCATAGTGCCATGCCATCTACTTGAGGGCTCTAGGAGTGAGACACAGCTGAAGAATGACCCACAAAACCAAAATGAAACAAAGAAGAGATGGAAGCATTCACCAGTTGGAACAGCCTGGCCTAAGACACTGTGGTAGACAGATGCAGTCAGTGTTCACTTTAATGAACCCTCATGTGCTTCATTTGGTACCCTAATTATATGGAAAGAGATCATTACCCCTTAGACAGTCACTTCCGGAAATGGTGGAGAAATCATCATTGGGCATTCCAAAGTGCCTACAAGCCCCTGAAAAGTAATTCCTTAGAATCTGTGGTAGACATATAAATGTATAACAGAGGTTATCTTTGTTGACCCCTTCTCGTGGGGTCCACGTGCAGGGATGAATCACATCAGCAGGGAGAAATGTTATCTGGGACAAATAATGATGACAATGGAGAGGGAGGAGTAAAATCTGGGCAACAAAATGAGAGAGAGCAAAGCTGGAATGGATTTCTGGTTGACAGCAGAGCAGTCCATCAGGGACTTGGTAGAAGGAACAGGATGCTTTCAACTGCTGTACACTGAGAGGGGGCTGGAAAGGTAGTAAGGTACCTATTGTAGTGACATGTAGAAATAACCTTTTTGCCGTTCTGTTGTTGACAAGTACTTCTGGGAACCTGGTAGTCATACAGTCCATTAAAGTTTTGCCAAGAAACTGAAGACTTATCCAAACAAAATAATTGAGGAGGCCGTGGAGGACCTCAGTGAAACCATCTCCAATTGGTCCTTGCCACACAAGCATTCATTGGGTAAACATTGTGCCCCTGAAATCTCAGGTGTTTTGTTTGCCCAGTGCCTCCATATTAAAAAGGGGCATAGAGATAGACCTTGTGACAGTTTCTGCCTTTTCTTAGAAATCCAGAAAGGCCAAGTGTTATTTTGCTAGAAGGGATTGAAAGAACATTTCTGTAAAGAGACCAACTGCCTCTCGTAATGTAGGAAGCCTCTGTACGTGCACCTGAAGTGAAGGAACAAACAGGGCCAAAGAATATTCTTCTTATAAATGAATGAACATACTTTGTGAAAATGGAGTACTGCATGTGTTCTTCTAGGTCCTCGGGTGCGGCCTTTTGACTGAGTCCAAGTTTTACAGAATAAATACTTTTATTAAGGGCTTGAGGACCTAGAGGGCCACAGGTTCCCCACCCCTGAACTATCCATTTTGGTTAAGGTAGCTTCAATTTTGATTCAAATTGAAAAGGAGAAAATGTCAAGAGTAATGTTTGAAGGAGAAATGTTGTGAGACAAAGAATCATAGAAATCTAACCTCCTGTCCAGTGCATGAATCCCCTCTGCAGCATCTCTGAGATGATCAGCTTAGCTTTGCTTAAACATTTCTAAGACAGGAACTCACTACCTCACAAAGCCCATTTCATTTTGGGAGAAAGAGGGCGGTACAAGCTTAGGATTTTGACAGTCTGAGGGACTTCCAGTACAGAAACTCCTTCAGGTGGGTTGGCAATTCATCCGTGACCATCTGAAAGAATTGCCTAGGTCACAGAAAAGTTAACTTTGTCCATGATGTCAGAGGCAGCACTTGAACCCAGCCCTTCCTGAGCTTGAGCCCAGTGCTCTAGCTGCTTGTTGCCTTTCATTTAATTTTTTAAATGGTTGTAATTGTTCTTTTTAATTTTAAGCCAAAATGTGACCCATTGTAACTTCTCTTTAACTCCAAAAAGTAGAACTAGGAACACATAAAATAGGTTTACTATTACCTGACAGATATTCAGATATTCACAAAATAACTATCAAGTCGCTCCTAAGTCTTCTTTTTGAGCCCAGAGAGCTCCATTTCTTCAATCATTTCTTATATAGCAGGATTAACAATTTTCTCTGTAGGACTCTGTTAGATACATTTCATTTTGTCCATTTCTTCGTTAAAATATGGCACCCAGAACTGAACACAGTATTTGTCAGGATAAAGTTACCTATCGCCTCCCTCTGCCTATATACTTCTATTAAGTGTAGTCTCCAGTAAGTTTGTATTAGGTTGTTTTTTTGAAAGCCGTGTCATAAGGTTAACTGATTAAAATTTGTAGTCAACTAAAGTGCCCAGGTCTTTTTCTTGTGAATTGTTGTCTCTCTCATTTTGCATAAGTATAGAACTTGAAATTTCATAGAGATAAATGTAGTCTTGCTAGTTTCGTCCTATTCTATTCCACAAAAAGTTTTTTAAAATCCTAATTCTGCTATCCAGTATATTACCTGTTCCTTTCAGTATTGTCATCTAAAAATTTTATACATTTGCCTTCTATGGCTTCACCCAAGTCACTGATAAACATGTCAAATAGTCCTTTAGTGTTATTAGAAGCTTTCCTTGGGTTGATCTCTATCTACTACCCAACAGTCTTGGGTCTGCTCATTCAGCCAGCTACAAATCAACCAACATCATCTAGTGTCCATTTCTCCATCTTTGTCTACATGAATATTGAGACTGTCTAAGGCCCTGCGGAAATCTCACTGTAATGGCCTTCCCTTCCCAAATGTGGTCTACTAAGAAAATTGATTGAAACTTGAAAGGAAGGATTGGTCCTAAAGATATAAATGAAGGAAAGAAGCTGTAGAATAGAGGGAGAAGACAAACAGAAATACTGTAACTCAAAGAGTTATCGTATGTTATTGTAGGTTATTGTAGCTGTCTAATTTTGAAGATGTGAAAAAGCATGTAATCCTTCTAAGTACATCACACTTTACATAAGAAATAATGGATAGCATAGGAGAAATGGTGACAGAGTGAAAAGTGGAGGAATGATCATTTATAATGTACATTTTTGTACACCTAAGATTGTTTTTTTTTTAGCCTATGGTTATAGAGAAGTACAGAACAAACAAATAGGAACTTAGATTATGGTTTATTTCTGTCTTGACTTTTATATTGGCACTAGATTAGCTTCTCAATCCAGTTTTTCCATATTTCTTAAATGGGAAGAATTTTCTCTGCCTCTGATATTGCGTATATAAAGTATTGTAAGGTAACTGAAAAAAGAAGAAAGACCAAGACGATTTCTGTACCTCAGACCTTGAAGTCTGAGAAATGACATTAAACAGGGATTGTCTTTTTGCCTTTCATTGTATTCTGAGCACTTAGCACAATGCTTAGAAGAGAATGAATATTTAATAAATGCTTATTGACTGACTAATAAAACACCTGTACCTTAACTAAAATTAAAGCTTAAGGCAAACTAAGGAGCAAAAAGCCTACACAAAATACACAAGGAAAGGCAAAAGCTGCTTGGATGAAGCAGATCTTGAATATAGACTTTATAACATCAAATAAAGTAGTAACTGTTTCTTGAATCTATTTAATGTCTATAACTGTCAACATTTTTGTTTCTGTTTATAAAATTGTACTTTAAATTCCTCCATTAAAAAAAAAAGGCAAAGACAGCATATTTGTAAAAATGTTCACATGTTGAAATAGATGACCCAAATGGCCTCTGGGTGCTTTCAATGAATATCGGTTCATAGAAGCTATAGCATTATAAACCTTTTTAGTATTCTCAAGTTGCTGTTAATGGTTCTAACCATTAACCAGTGCTATTAAATGGATTTAAAATTAAGTTATAGGTATCTATAGAGACTATTATTATTCAGTGATTACTTTAAATAAGAGGTAGTGTTGTAAAAGAAGAACACCACATCTGGAGTTGGGAGAGACCTCATTTCAGACCTTGCCTGTGACTTTTATGTATGACAGTGAGCGAATTATTTAACCCCTCTGAGCTTCTGTTTCCTCATCTATAATCAATGAATGGATGTAACACATTTTGCAAACCTTAAAGCTTTACATAAATTTCACCTATGATGATGATGGTGGTGGTAGGGAAGGTAGGAATTGAAGATCTGGAAATGTTACCAGTCACCATTTCCTTATTGATCACTGAGGAGAATACAAAAGGCATGTAAGATAAGATCCCCTCCTTCCCTACAGGAGCTCATAATCTAGTTAGGGAGATAAGACAAACTACTACACGTGGAAAAAGTTGCATAGTAATTCTGGGAAGTATGTGATGAAGTGGTGTGATCAGTGCGCAGGGCCACTCAGGTTTTGCCCTAGGACACCAAAATTTAGAGAACTGACAGCACTTATAGGCCTTTGGCAGCATAAAAACAACTGAACTTAACTCCTTCAGTAACAAAATAGTTAAAGTAGCAAGCAAATAGTTGGCTGCAGAACTGCCAGGTAGAGTGTTGGCCCACCCAGCCTGCCCTGTTCTTCCCTACCCCCACCAGTCTTGATGGTATTTCTCTATCCGTATTTATTATAGATAGGTAGAGTTTGATAGTTTCAGCTCCAACAAGTGCTGGTTGAATCTAGAGAACAGAAAAATAACTGACCTGGAATGGCCAGGGAAGGATTCCTGAAGCAGGTGCTACTTTAGTTGTACTTTAAGTGATGGGTAATATTTGGATATATATGAAAGAAGAGATAAGGAAATTCCAGATGAAGGGAACAGGATGAGCAGAACTTGACGGTTGGGAAAGTGAAGCAGGGCTTGGCTGGAATGCAAAGTTCGTATTAGGGAATAGTAAAGAGAGGGAAACCAAGGAAATATTAAATCTTGCCTCTAGTTAGGGGCAGAAGGACGAAAAGAAAGGAGTGGTCAAAAAAAAAAAACAATAAGAGACGATAGTATGGAAGCTAAGAGTAGAGGATTTCAAGAGAGAATGGAGTTAGTGGTCAATAGTTCATCAAATACAACAGAAATCTCAGGAAGAGTGAAGATTTAAGAGAAACGATTGCATTTGACAAGAAAGAGACCATTGGGGACATTGAGAAATGCATTTTTACTACTGAATTGAAAACTAGATTAAAGACCATTGAAGAAGAAATGAGGAGCAGATTGCCTACAGTATTCACGGTACCACCCACATTGTGTTTGATGCAGAAAATTATTGAGCCCTCCATCTGTGAATCCATCTAGGCTTATAGTTGAAATGAGCCCAGCGACTGAAAGACTGGCTGGGCTGAGGTTGAGGCCTTTTTATACCTGCTGAACTACTCGTACTCAAATCGGGTTCTGTAAATGATCCTCTCTGTGAAGCTGCTCAGCCTCCAGAAGCTAGCTGGAATACTCATGGTGTAGTGGAAAGAGCACTGAAGTGGCGTCAAGAGAATGAGGTTCTGGGGCAGCTAAGTGGCGCAGTGGATAGCGCACCAACCCTGGAGTCAGGAGGACCTGAGTTCAAATCTGGCCTTAGACACATAACACTTACTAGCTGTGTGACCCTGGGCAAGTCACTTAACCCATTGCCTAGCCCCCCAAAACAGTGAGAATGAGGTTCTAATTCAGATTCTACTAAGTGCCTACGACAGTAGGCCACCCGTGACCAGCTAGGAGCTGTACTTTCCTCATCCGTAAAATAAAGGGGTTGGAACTCTAAATTCCTTCTAGCTCTCACATCTTATAACTCTGTAATTCAGTTAAACAGAGGCAGCAGGTGTCAAGAAGTTCAACAGTAAAAGAAGGGAGAGGAAGAAGACTGGGACAAATGGAGACTGACCAATATACAATAATGTCAAATCCCACATACATCATGTTCTAGCTGTGTAAAAATTACTTCTGGAAAGCTTAGACTCTTGTATTATTATAAGTATGGTAGACCAATGCTGCATCCACATGGGAGCAACACAGTTTTGGGGGCAGCATCAGAAAACTGCCTATAAAACTTGCAAGGAGTAGAAGTACTCTAGCATGTTGTAGTATTTCACTTCATGCTATGGGGCAAGAGCATGGACTTGGGGGAGACCTTTGGAGAAGACCGAGCATGGCCAAATAATATCATTATCAAGTCTCCACTTAGGTTTGTCTTTTTTATTGATTATTATGGTCTCTAAAGAATGTTAAAGTAATTGCATTCCGTGTATTTAGTATTTTCTGCCTTTTTGTATTCATTTGCAATTTCTTTGTGCTTTAATAGTCAGTTTTTGTAAATGTGCCATTTTAAGTGATTCCATTATAAGCCTTTTAGGTCTGATTTCTCCAGTAATTTGTTTAATTCTCTACTTTATCTTTTGTTTATCCTCTTGAAAGAAGAAGATTAAAGTCTCCTCCCTATTATTGTATTATGAATGACTTTTTGCTGTTCAGTTAATTTTTTCTTTATGCTAAGTTTAGTGTTAGTTGGTGTGTTGTCTATAGTTTTTGTTTATCTGTTGGTAAGTAAACATTTTTAAGGACATACTATGTGCCAGGCACTATGCTAATCTCTGGGGATACTAATGCAAGTAAAAACAAAGACAGTCCCTGCCCTCAAAGACCTTACAATCTAATGGGGGAAGCTGCAAAGGCAGAATGGAGGAGAGAGGAAGAGGAGGTCTCCTTACTGGGGAAAAGAGATGGAGAAGTCCAAAGTAGTGTAGCTGGTGAGAAATAGGGACAAGTTTGTGCTGAGATTCCTTCAAAAGAGGCCCTGAAACCCATGACCCTGCCCTTCAGTTAGACTGTCTAGCTTTGCTTTGTCCTAGTTTTGCTTTGTCTGATAGCATGATGGCAAATGCTACTTTTTTGTTTGTTTTTTGTTTTAGGCAGTGGGGTTAAGTGACTTGCCCAGGGTCACACAGCTAGTAAGTATTATGTGTCTGAGGCTGAATTTGAACTCAGTTCCTCCTGAATCCAGGGCTGGTGCTCTATCCACCGCACCACCTAGCTGCCCCTAAATGCTACTTTTTTGGATTCACCTGATGCATAGCAAATTTTGTTCCACCTTCTCATTTTTATTCTATGTATGACTTTGCTTTGTAGATATTTTTCTTATAAGCAATAAATTATGAAATTTTGTTTTCTTATCTAATATGTCACTCTTTTTGTTTTATTGGATTGTTTAATGCATTCACATTTAGAGTTATAAGAGTCAACTTTCTTTTTTCCTCCAATATTGTCTTTCCTGAATTAAGTTTTTTGAAGGATTTTCTATTCCTCTTCTTCTTTTAAGTCATTACTTTGTTCCTATGCTTAGTTTTTCTTAATCAGTTCTAAGGCATGCACAGGCAAAGGAAAGCATTGACTCAGATAACTGGAAGAAAATTTGCTGGTGGAATATCTGTCTTTGTTTTATTCCTCTGTACTCCCACCTCTGAGTCTGTTAAGTTTTTAACATTAAATTTCATGTTTATCGATACCAAAATGTATTTTCAATATAAAGCAGTCATTTAATTGGCTTAGTGTAATGAACATAATTTAACGAAGCTCTCTGTATAATAGATGCTTCTTTTAAAACATTTGCTTTTGTCATCCTTAGGTCTTGATCAGCATGCAGCTCATGTCTGGTGATCCGTGTTTTAAAACGTAAGTTTATGCACAATAAGGGCAGTGGGATTTCTACTGAAGTATTAATAATGAATAATGTGTCTGAAGTTTATACTTAAATTTTTATGATGTGTACAACTAAAAAAAATTAAGGAATATTTAAGGAAACTCACTTTAAAAAATAATTTTGTTTTATATTGAGCTGATAGGTCTTTTGTCTTTTCAAAATGGTTTCCTTTGATTTACCTTTAAAATACCTCTTACAGATTCCTACCCTTGTCAGTGTATGAAGGACCATTCTGACAATAAGAGCTGTCTGAAAGTGAAATGGACTTTTTTTGTGAACTGAGATAGTAGACACTCAAGAATGAGTGAAATGAAATTCTTTCGTTTTTTAAGCACTTACCATATAACAGGCACTGTGCTAAGCACTGGGGATACAAAAACCACCCTTACCCTTGAGGAGCTTATATTCTAATAGGAGAAGACAAATAAAATGCATATAATACATATGTATATGTATGTGTATATGTGTGTGTATATAGGCATATATACACACATACATACATACATACATACATACATACATACATACATACATACATACATAAAATAAAATGCATAGGATTTCAAAGGAGTTCCTTTTTATTGAAATCAGAATGTTAAAATAAATTCCCAGGCTGCAGGTTCAAAACCCCTGGTTCTGGGGAGACACAAGGGAGTGACAGCCAGGAAGGAGCCTACAGCAGTGCCTGGTGACCGAAGTCACAGAGCAAATGATTACTACTGCCTTTCCAGGAATGCTGATGTTGATTTGATACTTAAAAAGTATCTTTTGAACTGAAGTCGTTTTTCCCCCCATCAGGGGAAGTGTTCAAGCACAGAATGGTCCACTGCTTGTGGAGGGGATTCCCAGAACATTGTTGTAAAAAACAAACTTACAGGTCCTGTGTTAAGAACCTCTGGTCTAGACACATTTTCTCTATACACTTACTTAGATTTCAGAGAAGATAATATGATTCCAAGATAAGAGAAATACTTACTTAGGAATGCTTATAGTATATATTTAGAGAGAGAGCATGGTAAAGTGAATAGAGAGCCTACTTTAGCGTCTAGAATGCCTACATTAAAGTCCTGTATCTAAAACATACTGGCTGAATGACCTGGTCAGGGCAAGTCATTTTTTATGCTCTCAATGCCCCCTAGCAATTCTCTTAAAAGTAAAAAATGTAAAAGAGTTGATCTGAATTGACAGAGAGAATTTCCTCACTGAAATTTCCTTCCACCAGTGAAATCACAGATCTAGACTTTCTTTCCTCACTCAAACTCCCCTCGGACCCTGTGAATAATGCGTAGCTTTCCTGTACTTGGATGGATTTGTGATTTTGTTGATAATAATAGTGATTGCGAATATTTATATGGTGCCTACCCTGTGCCAGGCACCGTGTTGAATGCTTTACAAGTATCATCTCCTTTGATGCTCACAACAACTCCGAGAGGTAGGTGCTGTTCTCCTCGTTTTATAGATAAGGAAACTGAGGCAAGCAAAGGTTAAGTAGTTCTGTCAGGGCCACACAGCTAGTAAGATGTTTCTGCCACCAGTACAAGTCGTAACTGTGCTCATTCAATACAGTTCTTGTTTGTGTCTGTTCATAAGTCTTCCATAGAGGACGGTGGTACCAGAGACCTTCCTTTGGATCCGAGTATGGTACTAAAGATGCCCATCCTTTAGCCTTCACCCTATGACCAGAACACCTTTTTTTTTCCCAGTTATACATGTTCTACATGGGGTCTCTTCTACTACTGCTTACTACACACACAACAATAACGGCCATTTAAAAAATAGGTGTCATGTCCTCTTGCTAGAATTGTAAGCTTCATGAGGGTAGTACCTTGACATATCTAAATTTCATTTCACTGTGTTTCTAACACAGTGCTCTGTGCACCATAGGACCTTAACACATGTTTCAGTTGCCTCTTGTGAGAATTTATACATCAGAACCTTAAAAATGTATTTCTTATTATCACCTAATTTATTTTGTTTCAATTCAGTTAACCAGTTCAGCCCTAATCTCCAGTCACTTGGGTTCATAACATCATAGACGTCATCGTCTCATACCTCTCCTATACCCTCTCTTTCCTGTCAGTTCCCTAGCCTCTTCAACTTCACCCTGACAATATCTTTTGCATCCATCCCCTTCTGTCGGCTCACAGGGATCCTATTGCACCTTCCTTCAAGTGTCACACCACCCATGTGAGCCGTGTTGTTGTTAATCCTCTCTCCCTTTTTGGATTATCTTGTATTCTTTCTTCTCTCTTCCCCCGTCCCTGCTAGAATTTGTTTCTTAAATACAGGAGCTATTTCTCCTCTTTGCTTCTGTATTCCCATTGCTTGCACATGTTAAATCATTTTGATTCAATTCAACACACATTTATTAACCAAGTTTTTCCAGTACTTTGTAGTATAAAGATCATTCTCCTTGGCAGACGAAAGAACAGTTGAATAGTTCTGAGGGCTGGAATTGTAATCAGGAAAAACAGGTTCAAATTTTTCCTCTGATGCTTGTGAACTGCAGGTATAGCTCAGAGCAAATCGTTTGACTTCTGGGAAAGTTAATACCTTTGGTGCCCTGGAGAAGGGGGAGGGGTAGCTTGCTGAACTCTTTTCAGATCTGCTCATCCCTCTTTGGTGTCTGCCTGTTACCCAGCTTTAACTTGTGGCTCTAAGAAGCTGTAGCGTGAGCAATGGCCACACCGTTGTGGTAAAACCATCTCAGCAGACGAGCTAAACCAGGTTGAGGGTAATCAACAGACCTCAAACCTGTCGGTGAGTTAAGGGGACTGTCCACCCCAAACGTGTGAAGACTTCCCCCAGCAGAATGAAGAGCTGAAAACATTTTGTTCTAGTGGCCATGAAGGCAACTGAAGCAGGTGCTGTGCAGCCGTCAGAGCTTGGTCAGCCATCAAAGAGGCCAAGGTCATCCACTGCATCCTGGGCCATCCCTGGTCATCTTGACTTTTGTCTTGCCACTGGGCTTTGATTCTGGAAGAGAGAGTGAAGTTGATGATTTTGTGTAGCTCTGCTTCATTTAAATCCAGTTCACATGTAAATCAAGATATCACCTGTGATGTCATTGGTCCTCTTCAAAAACAAAGGACTAAACTACAGCCTAATTCATAGTGTTATTTGTGAAAATCAAATGAAACAATGTATTTCAAATCATTGTTTAAATGTCAGTTATTATCGTCCCATCTACCCTGAATACCAGTTCCATACTTTCTTTGATCTTCATCTTGCTCCAAACAGTAATTTTGTGAAACCCTTCTTCATTGTCCTTAGCATTTATCACAGCCTAGGACTTCTCTTGGGCTTTTGTATTGCTCACATTTTTATAGCATCCAGTAGCATTGTTGCTTACCCACCCTGTTTTCAATAGCTCTGTGTGCTTTTTTTTTTTTAAGGCAATTGCGGTTAAATTGCCCAGGGTCACACAGCTAGTGTCAAGTGTTTGGTCTGAGGCTGGATTTGAACTCAGGTCCTCCTGACTTCAGGGCCAGTGTACTATCTACTGCGCCACCTACCTGCCCCACTGTGTATGCCTTTTTAAAAACAAATTTGTCAGTGAAATTTTTTTGCAGCCTGCAATTCCTCCTTATTGTCCAGAATCCGTAGGACCAAAGTAATAGTTTCCCTCATTGCAGCCACTTTTCAAATAATGAAACTATCATCAAGGCAAGTCAAGAATCAGTCATCTCTTTTGCTTTTATAAGAGAGAGAGAAAAGGGAACTGTGAGGGAGAGAGAGGGAGGGAAAAGGAAGGGAGGGAGTAGAGAGGAGAGGAAAGAAGAGCACACTATGGAAGACTGGGAAATGTTAGGATAGTTGAAGTCCAGATCACTGCTATATAATATGAAGTGATTATATATGTATCTATCTATAAATAACATTTTAAAGTTTGCGAAACAGTTTTTGTCTCTTCTTATTTGATTTACACAGCAACCCTGAAATGTGTTACAGGCATTATTGTTCTCACTTTATTGTTGTTTATCCGTCCTTTTCCAAAAGGACCGGTGACGTCACAGGTGAGGTCTTGACTATTGAAATCCGCGAATTGGATTTCAGTGAGGCAGAGGTGCACAAAGTCACCAGCCTCACTCTCTCTTCCAGAGTCAAGACATGCTAGTTCTCCTTGAGCGTCCCATACAGCCCTCCCACTTTATAGATGAGGACACTAAGGCTCAGGGAGGCTGAATGACTGGGGAGGATCAAAGAGAGGTTTCGACCCCAGGGCTTCCTAACTCCACGTCCAGCACTCTGTCCACAATGGCCTGCTGCCTCTAAGTTAGGCTGCTTTGTCAGTTTCGTGACCCCCTTCTGGCACTCACTGTTCATTTCCTCATGATCTGTGGTATATTCCCGCAGTAGTCTCACAGCTGTTTCTCTGTCCTTGGATCCTTACACACATACTCTCTCCACTCTTTCATTTGTGCCATCTTTATAGGAGCCTGTCTTCTTGATATTCTGATCTGTTTCTTTTCAATATCTTTTTCAAAACCATTTGGAATTGGGATTTCTGATGCAAGATATCATTATAGGTATTTTTGACAAAACAATGCTGTAGTTAAGATTAACCAAGGAAGGGCTGACTCATACAGAGCTTTTAAGTGTCCTTAATACTATAGGACCTTTAGAACTCATCATGAACTGCTATATCTATGTATCCCAAAAGTCATGTTGTTTTAAAAAAAAAACCTGAAGCTCAGAAACTACAAGTTGAGTGCTTAACGGCATCACTGTATTCTTGACTTTATTTTAGGAAGATGGTTTAATACTTTGATATGTTAAGGATGCAGTGAATTAAAGGAAGTTTTTTTCCCCTAAAATTCTTAAACTAATTTCTGAAGCCTCCATTTAAGTTTTACTCTAGTGCTTTGTTGTTGTGTGGACCTGATCTTGGGTTCTTAAAGGTTAGGAAAGTGTAGCTCAGCCTCTGCTGGGACTTAACAAGATGGAAAGACATTGAGTAAAGGCCCAGAGA